AACTCATCCGATAACTTTTTTATCGAGAATAATCGAAAATTTGATTTTGTTTTTTTTTAGCCTCATTTGAACACTATTAGACCTGGAAGCTTCAGATTTACTGTGTATATACATATGGTGATTAGAAACGTTTTGCCCAATTTGCAAAAAAATGCATTTCAAATACTAGAGACTTGTGCTTCGGAATGTACATACATTAGATCAGTATGATTACGTTCAGAAAGTTTCATAAAGATCGTACGTCTAGAAATTAAATTATTCAACAAATAAGTTCTCATAATATTGCCCACTTTGCAGCGAAGCCCAAGCGCAATCGATGCTTACTGCGCAGTTCGCAGAGCGCTTTTCCGTGGGGGTGGATGCATATGTATGTATGTATGCGTGCATACAAGAAGTGAAGAATGATAAGAATATCAGCTTGGAGGGTACAGGGTATCTCCTATTCGAGCAGTCTCGACTAGAGCTTTCTTACTTGATCTGTGTGTGAGTGTGTCTGTTTTTGTGTAAGCATATAGATTCGAAGAACTATTATGAAATATCAATTCTTAGAAGGGTTCAAGGGTTTTTGTAGTCGAGCAGTCTCGACTAGAGCACAACTAAGTACAACTGCACAAAAGTGAATAGACATTCGAATAAAACTTTCGTAAAAATATTTATGCTAAAAAGCATAAAATTTGGCATGCATAGAGCTATTAATACTCGTTGCTTTGCTCACCATTTCTCTCATTTATATAACAGTACTAAACAATGCCAGTTTTAATTGTCACAGCACGTTTTCGTCAAAATACTTATGCCGACTAGTTTACAGTCAGATTAAAATCTTAATTAATAAATTATTTTTCAGATGGGCGATGTTGATCCCGAAACGTTGTTGGAATGGTTATCGATGGGCCAAGGAGATGAAAGGGACATGCAGTTAATCGCATTAGAGCAGCTATGTATGCTACTTTTAATGTCCGATAATGTTGATCGGTGTTTCGAAAGGTACGTTTATTTTCCAGGCGGCAGCGAAGTTACAATTAATTGCATAAGATTATTTTATGTACTCACTTATTTTAAAATACGTAAATTCTTAAATGACTAGCTGCTGTTGTCTTTTATATTATAATGAAAGCAATTATATAAGTGAACGAGACGAGATATTTTGTATTTTAGAACAATCGCGATGTGATTGTAATGAGCATTATTTTTCAACTGAACTTAAAATATTCTTATAGTAGCCACGATACTATAGGGAGCGGCGCTGGAGACAGAATCGCTGATGCAGCGCCTCTGGCGCGGTGGCTTTGAGTTTCATTACAGCTGTGTTGCTCAATGTCCGGCCCTTTGCCTGGATCACCAATTCTTAGCGCGTGCGTGTTGACTCTTCCCTCTCTTAAGGCAAAGCCGTCCCCGGATTTCCCTGTAGAAGCCTCTCGCTCGGATGGGTATTCGCGGTTGCGACGTATCGCCCAAATAGCGCCGTAGTAAGTCAGGACGAGAACGAAGATCACAACGCTGCTAGTCCAAAGTCTTATTATCTGCGCTTATTGCAAGCCGCAAATATGTTGCGGGTTTTTCAGATTTCGGCTGTGGAGGAAGGGAGGACTCAACTGTTGGTGGCTGTCGGTCACAATTAATTGTGTAGTGATGTATACATTAGGCTTCTTTCTTACGATTCCACGGCCGCTCGCGTAAAGTGTACCATTTAAAAGTACACTGTCGTCAGAGACCGCCAAATATGTTCCGTTTATAGTTTGGTCATTACCCTTGTTCTCAACATTCATGGTGACGTCGTTGAAGATTATGACGCCAACCAACCTTATGTCGTTGGTGGCAGATGATCGGGTCGAGTTTGGTTTAATGGGCGACAGATCCAGATATTAGTTGCTGCGCACAGGGCACAGCGTACAGTGTTTAGGGTATTTGATGTGAAAATACATTTCGGAAGTCTGGAAAGCCTTCATATTAAATACTTTAAATATATTTGCTCGACTTATATTTATGGCGTGTTCCTTTGCCAATTCTTTTATATCAATGCTATCTAAAAAGGGGGCTTATTAAATTTTCTGTAGCTAATGTAACTGTAAGAAGTAAATCCTCTAGATGTGTGATAACCATTCTGTTTCTTGACATAATAATTTCGCATAAATAATGTGTTCCCATTCGTCGAAGTCTGGTGTGTTTGCAATTACCTAAGTGCGGACTCCAAGAGGTTTACACTCCGCGCCTGTCTATTATGCACTTTAATGGTGGCTAATAAGTCTTCAATATGTTCAAGGTCTGTCATAAGTAATTTTCGTAAGTTGTCTTATGAAATGTCGTTTGTTTCTCTTCTAGTCTCTTCGTAAGTTGTTATGTTCGTGGTGTGAATTGTCATTCCTAGATCTGCCTCAAGTACCTGTTTAGCATAGTGGGGAGATAGTTTGTTACCTAGCCTTTTGTTTGACTTTATTAGAATTTTTTTCTCTGGTTTGGTACTGTTTGTTGGCTCTACTTTTGTTGGCCTGGTTAAGTGTTTCTTCCTTTCCTGTGCTGATAATGTCCTAGTTTTAATGGATAATGTCTACTGATTTTTCACCCGTAGCTCTATTTATTGACGTGCTATAATTTATGGTGGCCAAAAGCACAGAGCATATTTTGCAGTTTGCGGCTATTTCTGCTGTACCTGCCGATTTTTGAGAAAAAATAGTCCCGCAGTATCTGCCTCGCATTTTATTGCTGCACGATGCGCTCGATTATGTTCGGCAGTAGCAATTTCTCTTTGCTCAGTTTCATTTGTCACATCGGTGACTAATGTCTTGCCATGCCGAAAGGTAGTCGACGAAAAAGCCTCTGCTAACGCATGTTGAATGTAAGCTAAAATAGGTAGCTCGCAGCAAATCGCGTTGACCACATTTGTATTTACGAGATCTTTTACTTTACGTGAAATGGTTTATCTACTGGCACGAAATATGAAAGCCCTGAGAGCGGCTTGATATAGATTATTGCAAGTTTCGGACTGATTGGATACTTCGTCCTCTGATTCAGCTATGTCTTGCTGTGAGGCGTGTTCATAGTTATCCTGGGACTGCTGATGTGATAAGTTATGCAATTCTTGTGTAGTTCGCATAGATTGGTCTCCTGCACCTGAATTTCTCTTTGCATTTGTTGGCTGCCGCCAACGTGAAGATGAATCGACGTCCATCGGTTCAACGCCTTGTTTATTTGGTTTTTGAAAATTAGTACCGTTTTTTAGTACTACCACGTTTCATGAGCATAGCTCTTCAAAGAGAAAAGTTATTGAGCAATTAAGTTTCCATAGTAAGTTAATGTTTGCATCCCTATGTTTTTCTCTGTGTGAGTGTTTCTTATACATTAGTTTCTCGAAAGATTCAGGGGATTTCGTTGTCGAGGGGATCGAACTATTGTTCGATTATTTAATCATATGATTTATTTTAGGTGGTTTATTTAGGTGTTAATTAAATGATTTTTTTAATGCGCTTAATTTTTTTTTCATGAACATTTTTTAAAAGCAACAATAACAACAAGAACAGTAAAATTGAGTTAAGAAATAGTAGTTGGGAAAGGTGGTCTGTCGTTAGCCTGTTCCTTTTTTCGGTTAATGTGGCACCCGCTTTGGAAAAAAGACGCTCCAATGGTACCGAAGTGCCATTGTTGCAAGTTCTCTTTGGATTTTCCACCGCGTTTTAGCCAAACTACTATGTTACGGCATTTGGTAATTAATTCCGATGCTTCTTTTATATCCAAAGCATGCACACTAAATTCAAAGTATGCGCGAAGCATGGAATATGTTGGGATTTTCCAAAGCTTTGATGTATTGCCTTAACAATATTTGCGCCATTATCTGTCACCACTGCTGTAATCTGCTTTTATACCCTGAACCCATTGAAAATGGGAAATCAGGGTATAATGGTTTTGTTAAAAGTATGTAACAGACCCCATAAAGTATATATATTCTTGATCAGGGCGACGAGCTGAGAAATTTTCCTAGTTCGTTGTTTTGTAATTATATCTCATCCTGATATTGTATTATTGATTAAAACCCTTATCGAAGGCTAGTTATTTGATTATATCTCCTACACCTTTAACGGTAGAGACGCTAAATTTTAAATGTAGACTCATATGTATTTTATATAATTACGATTTTTGTTGTAATTCACCTTCTACCCTTACATCCTCCCCCTCACCCTCAACTTTGTAAAAGACGTATTTCATGTTATAATAACGACCTGAACTTTCACGAGCAAAGCTCAACATGAAAAGTTATTAAGCAATTAAATTTCCATAGTAAGCCCACGCTGCAGCCAATGCGTGTTCATGCTTGCATCCATATGTGTACCTTTGTAAGCAAAAAGACACGAAGAAATTTTGAAATATCAATTCTTCGTAGGGTTCAGGGGAATTCGTCTCAAGATGAAGTTTGTTACCTGAAATCAGTTATGAGATTTGATCTTTTTTGTAGAGCTAGAGTCTTCAAATTTGGTATATAAATTGTGAATTTGATACAATTTGGATTTTTAAATGCAGCCAAATGCAGCCTTTATTACAAAGTAGTTTGACTTTCTATCCACACATGAGGGTCGTGGAAAATTGGAAAATGCATTTTCCGGCATCTAAGAAACTACGTTAGTTGAAGTGATAGGTTTGAGATTTAGAAAGTTGATTTGAGGATACAACGGCGGATATACCTACGCCATTGGGGCTTTTTTTGGTCCGTGATAGATTATTCTGTAGATTATTATTTAATAAATAAATCCATGTGGTTTTTGATTTCTTTCAGTTGTCCTCCTCGAACATTTCTGCCAGCTTTATGCAAGATATTTTTGGATGAGCTTGCACCTGAAAATGTTCTTGAAGTTACTGCACGCGCCATAACCTATTATCTGGATGTATCTGCGGAGTGTACCCGAAGAATTGTTTCCATCGATGGCGCCATTAAAGCCATTTGTAACCGATTAGTTGTTGCCGACTTATCTTCACGTACATCACGTGATCTTGCAGAGCAATGTATTAAAGTTCTTGAACTTATATGCAGTAGAGAAGCAGGAGCAGTTTTTGAAGGCAGTGGTTTAAATTGTGTTTTGTCATTTATTCGGGACTGTGGTTCCCAAGTTCACAAAGACACACTACATTCAGCCATGTCTGTTGTTTCACGACTTTGCACTAAAGTGGAACCCAATTCACCATGTATAGATAACTGCGTGGAAAGTTTAAGTACTTTACTGCAACACGAAGATGCACTGGTATCGGATGGTGCTTTAAAATGCTTTGCATCTGTTGCGGATCGATTTACACGGAAATGGGTTGACCCTGCACCTTTAGCTGAATATGGCTTAGTTGCCGAACTGCTCAAACGTCTAGAAAATGCTGCTGGCGTCAATAGTCACTCCCTATCTACATCTAAATTAAGTGGGCCTGCATCCGCCAACCTTAATGCAGACCGACTTAATGAAAATGGTTCAGGATCATCGAACGCAGCAGGAAAAATTCAAGCAAACGAATTCCGGTCGCCACAATCAATATCGACAACAATTTCGCTGCTGTCTACATTATGTCGTGGATCACCATCTATAACGCGTGATATCTTAAGGTCTCCGTTACCGAATGCCATTGAAAGAGCTCTAAAGGGGGATGAACGCTGCGTGCTTGACTGCATGCGATTTGCAGATCTATTACTTCTCCTCTTATTTGAAGGTCGGCAAGCATTGAACAGGGTCAGTGCCAATAGTAATCAAGGCCAATTGGCTCCAAGACCAAAACGGAATGACTCCAGTACTGATCGTACTCATCGACAACTTATAGATTGCATACGATCAAAAGATACCGAAGCTTTGCAAGAGGCAATCGAAACTTGCGGTGTTGATGTGAATTGTATGGATGACGTAGGGCAAACTCTATTGAATTGGGCATCTGCTTTTGGTACTTTGGAAATGGTTGAATATTTATGTGAGAAGGGCGCGGATGTGAACAAAGGACAGAGAAGCTCATCTCTTCACTATGCTGCTTGCTTTGGCCGCCCTGGAATAGCAAAGATTTTACTTAAATTTGGTGCTTATCCAGATTTGCGCGATGAAGATGGAAAAACACCTCTTGATAAAGCGCGTGAAAGATCAGATGATGGCCACCGCGAAGTTGCTGCGATTTTGCAATCTCCTGGTGAATGGATGTCTTCTGGAAACATACTGACAAATAAGGAAGGACAAATGTACACATCTATAGAACCGCGCGGGGATCCTGAAATGGCACCGGTCTATTTAAAACTACTTTTGCCCATACTCTGTCGAACATTTCAGGGTTCTATGCTTTCTAGTGTTCGACGAGCTAGTTTGAGTCTAATAAAAAAGATTGTTCAGTATGCACACCCTTCAGTTCTTAAAAATATTTGTGGAAAGTGTGATGAACCCACAACTTCAATAGCCACTCAAAGTGTTGGAAACTTGCTAACTGAAGTTATCGCTAGCGTCTTGGACAGCGAGGTAAAAATATAATATATTACATATATTTTATTGTGTATTCAAGTTTTATAATTTTTTAGGATGATGAAGATGGCCACGTAGTTATTTTGAAAATTATTGAGGAGCTGATGTGTAAGGCGCAAGAAGAATATATTGAGCACTTTGCGCGATTGGGAGTATTTTCTAAAGTACAAGCTCTGATGGATCAAAACGAAGACCATTCATCACAATTCTCGTCAGGCTCTCCAGAGTTTTCGTCAACACAAAAGGGATCAACTTATTGTATGCCGAGTAGATCAGTTTCAGGTAGTCTTAGAACAAAACTTTTGTATTAATCAGAATGCCAAATTATTATATTTCTGTTTGTAGATGATTTAGTGGAGGATGCTAAAGAAATTTTGCAAGGCAAGCCCTATCATTGGCGGGACTGGAGCATTTGTCGAGGTCGAGATTGTTTATACGTTTGGTCAGATTCCGCTGCATTAGAGCTTTCTAATGGTTCCAATGGCTGGTTCCGCTTTATACTTGACGGAAAATTAGCTACAATGTATTCAAGCGGAAGCCCCGAAAATGGAAATGACAGCTCAGGTAAATATAAGCAATCTTACTTTTTGTTGATCTATGCTTCTAGAATTTTCCAAGAAGTGTTCACACTTAATTATATCTAATTTAACTGAAATTTATTGTTTTATAAGTATGTCTAGTAGGGTCATATTTTTAACCTTTAATATATTAATGCAATTTTAATTAAAGTAACACACGCCCACGTTGCAATAGCAGTCTAGTACCAAATATATATTTTAAAAATACAGGTAAATCTATTAAGGACGACAAAACTGATACACTGGAAAACCGAGAAAGTTAAAACAAGAGACCGTAAATGAGAGTTATCAATTAAAAAACAAGTAAGAACGTTGCAGTCGGGCGTTACCGACTTCGAAATACTCATTCACACTCCATCAACAATTTAGAATTTAAGTTTTGCTCTAATACTGTAGAAATAATACGCCCATACTGGGCGTAGACCCTTCATATTTGGCACACTCGTAAACAAGCTAACGGTAAAAAAGCTGCAAAAGTTGGATGCCTACACTAAAAAAATAAAAAAAATTACAAGGTTTTTTTTGATGAGCCACGTGGTGGACGCGGATCTACATTGCAAATATCAGCTTTCTAGCTCATCAACTAATATGATTTCTGGTATATCGGAAAATGCATTCTCCGATTTCCCACGCCCCTAGTGGGCGGATCGATAAAATTTCAACACTTTATAAATCGGATATACACGAGTATGTGTTCCAAATTTCAAGTCTCTAGCTT